ATTTCGTGGAAAAACATGGATCCATCGGTGAGGGACTTCAACCCAGGTTGAATACTCATCCAATCAGACTCTAGCTTCTCTAGGGGTAACAAAGAAGAAACTCTCTTCTTTTTGTAAAATGTAATGAAAAACGTGCATCACGCCAAAAAATGAAGCCCGAAACTGTACTACAAGCATAAGAAGTCAGATGATTTTGGAATTAATGGGAACAAATCAAGCTTAACTCTTAGTTTTTTGTGTGCAACTGATCCAAACCTCCTTTTATCTGGGAGTTTTGGTCACCTGTACAGGATAGCGGGAGATTAGCGACTGTATCCAGAAGACTCCCAGATAATTTGGGAGAGTTGGCATATATGCTTATTCCAGTACAATAATTAAGGAAATGACATTTGACATCTATTTTTAGCACATGGAAGACCCCATGCTTGACCCCAGTATTTAAATGTGATGATGAGTCAGACATATTAGGTACTGAGCTGCAGGCCTATTTCTAATCTCAGCACACATAGTAAGATATTGGAATCCTGTATTGCTGATCCTCATGCTGATTGTCCATGCTATTATTACTTGCATTAGAGTTACTTAACTGTTCGATAATTAAGAATTCAAATAATTAGTGCTGAGGAAGCCCAAATGGGAGAAACGTTCACTTATTAAAGGCCACAAGAGAAAAGTTAGCTGTTTCCTCTGTTTATTCTACCTATCGTAATTTAAGAAGGAGGCATCCTGTATCCTTTGGATCCTTTTCCTGGTGGAATCATTGTTGATTAGCCTACATCGTCTACACTCCTATATATATATATATATTCTTAGGGGCTCTTTTGTCAGCCTTGACACTTCACTTTAAAAGTTCAGATCTCTCTCCATTATGGGCTTTATCAAATTTGTTTATCTACTGAATCAGTATGGTAACCTTATGAATAAGTAACCCTAAGTATTCTAAACAAAACACATCAGTAAAGAGATTACGTTTAATCCGAGTTTAAAAGGCAATCACAAAGTGAAGGGTGACAACTAGAAAAGTGCAAATAAAGATGGTTATCTGTATTACTAATTAGTTTTGGTAAACTGTGTGTCCAAACTTCAAATTCATCATCTCTGTAACTCTACCACAGCAAGGCCTTATGGAACCTCCTGTTGTTTTTGTCTATCAATCTCATAACTACATCAGAATAACTTAAAAAGCATGCTTTGAGCTCATTGTCATAATTTGCATGTTTTTGCACAAAATTTTTCTTACAAAATTGAATATTATTTTACACAAATTTCAATTACATCAAAAATAAAATCAGTAGAAATTTGACTGATTTCTAGCCAAGAGTTTTCCACACAGCAAAAATAGACAAGTTTTTGTCACCATTTTAAGGTGTTGTATATTTAATTCTAAATAAAGAGCACAAAAACAAAATTTTGACCAGATTTTTTTTCACACCTTGAAGAATAATGGAAAAATCTTAGCTATAGGATCAAGACCTACATCAGTAAAGTTAGACAGTCTCCCACCCACAGTTTTGGCTCTTTGTGCCCAGTTCACACATGAGATGCAAATGCAAATGAAAATGCTGGGAAACATATGTGTGAACTACCTTAACACAAATGCAAGCAGAACACACAGGTTTCAGTAGTGTAATGCAACCATGGTACAATTCAAAGCAAGATATTGCTGACATCTTATGCTATTTATGAAGAAATCTTGTGAAAAACTCGAGGAAATTTCCTGTACTTTACGACAAAAGTTGTTCAGGATTATAAGATATTTAAAAACTCTTGCTTGGAAAGTTGTGGTCAGAGAAGTATGTCTACGGAACAATTTGTATATTACCAATGTCAACACAATTGTTACCCTTCTCAGAAAATTGGTCAAATGTTTTTCAGTCTCCTCAGAGCTCTGTATAGACGAAAACCAAAACAAAGAGTAATTCCATTGAATTCTGTGACCAAAGCTTTATCATCATCAGCCATCCTGCAAAATACTGACACCGTGGTTTTGTACAAATCATTTTCCTTACATTTGGATTGGAAGTATGAACTTTACATTTTCCTTTAGTTTGCATTTGCAGTGTGCATCCGAACCAGGCTTAATTAGTAATCAATATCAATGGTAATTTCTTAACTGATCTGCCTTTCCGCAACTCATTTGCTTCCCTGATTTTTTAACTCTGATTTTTAACACTAGGCCAAGCTGTTCCTTAAGCTGGATCAAGGAAACTCGAGTTTAGTGCTGAATTTGATTTCATATCTAAAAGCGTTAAAAGTAAATTCAGTTGAAATTCCTTTGTCTACAATTGATGGATGTATGTTCTAAACAGAGTTGAGAAAATTTTCCCAAAAACGCTTTTGAACCGAGAAATAAAGAAACCTGGATTAAAATTTAACCCTTGGGTTGGTGCCAATCAGCCTTCGAGGTTCTGTCCTCCTGTACCTGTTCACAAGAGCCGATACAAAAGACCGAACAAAACACAACAGCTAACCAATGACTCCTAAACAAAGAAAGAACAATGGTAATTCCCTTGTGAACCGGTAAACCAGGACAGAACCGCCTTCGAAAAACTGGACCCTGGTTTTTAATTAGTGGAAAAGTAAATGCATTTTGATTGCTCCTTTCTTATGATCAATTCAACAGAGAGATAGATGACATCTCAATTAATGTGACAGCATGTCTTATTAACAATCAAGCAAGAAGTTTATTCTAGCTGGTTTCCCTCCCACCCACACCATGGAAAGTTTTGATTGCTTCAATTGCTTATTAGTGTTTGTCATTGATTCCTGATTACGGTACTGTGTGATGTGATAGTGTTGTGTTTTATGCACATAAGATAGATACATCTTATAAACTGTCTGGTCCCAAAACCAAGCCTGTCTGTTGTGTTATTGATTAGAACTTTTGGAAAAATTTTCTTTTCACAATGTCAAGCACTTAGACTTTCTTCGAGGATAATTGTCGATAAATGCATATACTTCTGTATCTCATATATTGTACGCATCTTCCTTTATCTGTGTGTAGCCACGAAAAGTAAATATTTCCTGTAATATGGTAATGATGTAACATTCGAAAAACAAAACTTGTCAAAATGGCAAATCGATATTCCCGAGAGTGGAGAAAGAATGAGCTAGTGCAGCTTCTCGCTAGAACACTTCGCTTGGGAACCCTTCCTGGATGGTCCATCATCAATTGTGATTCTCTATCGTTTTCTCATTAAGTTGTTCCTTGACGTCTTTGCTCGCAGAGAACGATCAAAGCGATCTACAATGGTTCGAGTTAAGTTACAACTAATTTCGCATACTTAAGTGATAAATTTTACAGCTTATCTTTGTTTTCCATTTCAGAAACTAGTACAGTGCACTTGAATTGAGATCGACAGCCTCTTGAAATACGTTCAATGGCCAGCCTTTGGCTTACCTGATCGCCAGGATTTCGTTCGCACTCGTAACCTCGACGGATCGCTGTCAAAAAATTAAGCATGCGATCAATTAAATTTAGTTTCGTGATAAATATAGTAAAATGAAAGGAAAAGTACCTACCATGTTCACCTTCAGCGGCCTCTTCTGGCCATTCATCGTCGTTAATCG